TATAGAAAGACAATGAACACAACCAAATCAAAAACGAAAAGCTTTAGTGGGTTTGAAATTTCTCAGTAAATATTTATCATTAGTTGAAGATTGAGAATTGGGCTGTTCGATCGAGTCAAGAAAAAAAAACGGGCATATCAAAGTAGCGGTTTTCATAGTAGTGTATTGATTTACATTACCACATTTCCAAGAAAAACAAAAAGGAAATCTGATAATACAAAAATAGACAAACATGAGTGGGGAGAAAGATAAAACTCTTATGATCACTAGTCAAAATATTCAGAACTTGAAAGATCCTATAAATTGGATGCTTATCCGTCGTTATGAATGATTTTGAGCAGTGTCACGAACTAATGGATCGAAGCAACTATGCGATTTTAAAACAAGGAACCTACACCTCTCTACATGGATCGAAATGACAGTTACATGCTCTGTGGTTTAATCTCATCTTTTTGTCTAACCGCTTATGACTGCCTCCTTTCAACTCGAGCTTACAACATTACTTACTTATCGAAGAAGCCGATAACTCGGCATGGATTAAATATATCTTAGCTACTTTACTTGGTGTTGATACACCACTTAATCAATCTATTTGAACCGTCTTTATTACACTCTACTACTAATCTCTATACTATTTATCACGTTTTCCTACCTAACATTAGTAATTTATGATAGACACGCGTGATCGATTTACCTGAATTCTCATCATGTCTTCAACTTTTACAGACTAAGTGTCTCAGTCATAAAATAAAACACAGAAGTGCTTCAAGGTATCCATGCTTTCATATGAGTAACCGAATATTTCATCATTGCTAAAAGTGACGCGGGTTAGCAAGTGGTGAGCAAGCCTTCTGTATTTGTGCTCAGATTGCCACAACAACCATCTAGTTTATTCGGATTTGAGCAACTATCAGCACTTTCTCTGTCTTTATGCCAGAATTCGATGCAAATAGCTCTTGTATATATTGCATGTAATAAGGCCAAAGTGTACACCAAACACATTCAAAAGTGTGCTTAGGACGTCCGGAATTTTGAGTATCTCATAAACGTCTGTCTAATAAGAACCGAATCATCTGCTTACTCGAAACCAAATGGTAATTTTCATAATATGAAGTTAGTTACTGAACGTTGACATTAAGTGAAGCAGGTTATCTTCAAAAATTGTGAGACAATTTAGTTTCTAAGCATTGGCTTTGTAGGGATTTTGTTTGATTGCATGGGGAATTTCATCGTGAGTTGACATCACTTGGAGAACCATTGGAAAACCAGGGAGTACTGGACAGCTGTTTCGTCAGCCCAGTTTGGGACTCTTCATCAGTACGCATCCACAGGGGTTCGAAACCCAGACCTTCTGTTGTGAACTGGCAGAAGTTAGAACTCAAGGACCATTGGATCGTTTCCCAGTGGCTCAATGGTCTACGAGCTCGCCTTGTAACCAGAAAGTCCTGGGTTCGAACCCTGGCGGTGGGTGCGTATCGATGAAGAGTCCCGAACTAGGTTGAAGAAACAGCTGTCCAGTACTCCCTGGTTTTCCAGTGGTTCTCCAACTGATGTTAACTCATGATGAAATTCTCCATGCAATTTAGTTTTTAAATGTTTGACAAAAAATAAAACATGAAGTGATGCTTATTATAGCAAAATTTGTTGTTTTGTTTTACAAGCTTAAACTACCAAAAAGAATACTACTAATGTGATCGATACACAAAACGGAATATATCAGTATAGTGCATACGCTTCATTTTGTTCTTAGAATGTCTAATCCAATTTTTACTTTAGATCCATCAAAGGATCTGGCGACTACTTTAATCTATTGCATCCATATACAATTACACAGAATTTTCTAGAAGTACACTTTCTGTCTGAATTTAAATTTTCTCTGATACTACACTGAATGTCAATTTATATCTCATCATTAGAAAGAAAAGTTTTCTTATAAGTCGTGTAAAATACTTCGTAATTGTTTATATGTCGGATGACTAATAACTAATGCCAAATATGTAATAAAGTTTCCCAATTTAACTTCAGCTACCTTCGAAGAGTGGATTCGATACAAAATCCAATACTGAAAAATTCAAACTAAATGACTTTTTTAATTCAATTTAGATTTTAATGATATAAGAATAAAACTTGGGCACTGTTAGGAGTATAACTCTATTATGGATAAGATTTTTATTTTGATAAATCACACAGTAATTATACAGTAATATTTACTGATGACGTTTCGAGCACAAATTATTACTGCTCATAATTATATCAAGTCACTCACACAACGTCTTACTTCATTCATATACACGAGTGAAATTTATTAGACATTTGAATAAAAATCAATATAAGATAAAGTACACTCATAATAATATTAGTGTCATTGATCAAATACAATCCGATGGGAAATAAGATGTTTTTATAGTCAAAATAAGTAACTTGTTAGATGTAGTGATGTGCTTGAATGGAAATAGAATTTTAGGATTATTTATTATCCTCCTCTGATTTGACTTGCAATAATATCTTCCGTATCTCTGGCATTTGCATTGAGTCACCTCTCTTACATGTGTCGGGTGTAGACTCAATGAACCAGGATTCAATAATCAATCTCTCTCTTCACCTCCCTATATTACTTCTTAGAAATTCGACTCTGTCCCACCCTATTGTGTGGTTGTGTGTTAATGCATGCAGTGGGATTGAGTTTTTTTCTAAATTCCTTATCTTTGTGGGATCAATTATTCTAACCTTGGCTAAGTGATTACGTTCTGATGATCTCACTACTCCTGGTCTACTAGCTTGACCCATGTAGTTGACTTAACTCGCAGTAATTGCACGGTATTTTGTAAATTATATAATTGTGTTTAATTGGGTCCACCGGGTCTCTTAGCCTACAGAGCTTGTCTCTGAGTGTGTTTGTAGGTTTGAATGCCACTCTGATTCCTGCTTTATTGAGAATCCTACGTGGGGCCTCAGATGTTCCCTCCTTATATGGTGTAACACACAAATGACTCAATGCAAATACCAGAGATGTGGAAGATATTATTGCAAGTCAAATCAGAGGAGGATAATAAATAATCCTAAAATTCTATTTCCATTCAAGCACATCACTACATCTAACAAGTTACTTATTTTGACTATAAAAACATCTTATTTCCCATCGGATTGTATTTGATCAATGACACTAATATTATTATGAGTGTACTTTATCTTATATTGATTTTTATTCAAATGTCTAATAAATTTCACTCGTGTATATGAATGAAGTAAGACGTTGTGTGAGTGACTTGATATAATTATGAGCAGTAATAATTTGTGCTCGAAACGTCATCAGTAAATATTACTGTATAACACTGTGTTGATTTATCAAATTAAAATCTTACCTATAATGCACTTTAGATTTTCCCATCAACTGATTGGACCGAAGTGTTCGGTCTCAGGTTGATATTTCGGCTTCTTTTGCAGATGCTTCGACGATGCCTGGTCATGTAACTTGGTTGGTTGGAGACTAGCGGTGGAATCCAGGATGCGCATTTCCTCCTATTTGGGACTCGTCATCTGGATGTAACTGCATTCTCCAGTGAGTAATGTTGTTCCCACCGTGGCTCGAACTCGGTGCCCATACTCTCAAACGCCGAGGGCAGTCAATCGACGGGAAAATGTAAATTGAATTAAATAATTAATAAGACTCGTTGCACAATAGGTGGTCCTCGTGGCCCAAGTGGTTTACTGGATCACGCTTTGGCTTGTGAGATTATGGGCACTGAGTTTGAGGCTCGGTGGGAACAACATCACTCACTGGAGAATGCAGTTACATCCAGTGACGAGTCCCAGATAGGACGAAATGCGCATCTTGGATGCCACTGCCAGTCCCCATCAACCTATCTAACTTTTTAGTAATAAAATCACTTCAACCAACCCAAATTGCGTATGTGTTTCGGGTTCGATTTTCGTCTAACATACTCCTTAACCTCTCTTAGCTGGTAGGAAGCCGGATAAAAAAGGAAGGTTGGGCGTGGGGCTGGCAATCCTACCCCGTGAAAACACACTGCTACTGAAACTTCAAAAACTTTCTATGTTCTTGTCGGAATGCAAATGAGTGAAGAAAACTATTATTAGTGTTAATACTAATGGAATACTGAAACTTCGTTTGCCGTCAAAGGAAAAGTCTACACCTCATCATCTATAGTTTATTTTTTTTCAAGTATTTTCTTTAATCAATCTATTTTGCTAATTTAACTTATTAACTGACTTCGAATAAGTGACTCATGCTGCTTTTTTCGATTCACAGCATTATTATTATTACTATTATTATGATGATGATGATCGATATTATGAACTATTTCACCATTGGAGTTACGATTTCTTTATAATAAAGGTTTTTGTATTTCCCAATGAATGAAAAACAAAACGATATTGTTTTTACTGACGTCTCACTATTTAATGATAATAGCTTTATCAAAGTATTATCAAACCGGAATTTACAAAATCTCAGCATATATATAAAAAAGAGTTAAGGGGTGAGAAAATAGACTTAGGTCAAGTTAAAGGGACATATTGAAGGTCGAAATAACAATGAAGATCACTCGATATGAAGTGCTTCTGATATTAGACGTTCTTTGTGATTTCTGAAGTTTTTCTGCATTATTTCAATATTGTCAAAATCAATTTTGTGGCCTGATTCTATAGCGTGTAGACAAGCTATGGCTGATGATTTTTCAAGCTTTTCTAGTTCAACTGGATTTCTCGGTGGTCGAAGAAATGCTCTACGGTGTTCATTTCTTCTGATTTTGATTTCTCGAGATGTTTTTCCAATGTATATCGCATCACATTCCAAGCATTTTATTTTATAGACACACTTAGATAGAGAATCTTTAGGGAAATACAAAAACCTTTATTATAATGAATACCACATACCCAATGCCCAAATTTTTTCAAACTGTTAAAAGTGAACTTGGTTTGGACGGATATTACGATTTCTATTTTTTTTTAATTTCCTCTATTTAATTCATTTATTTCAGCATAATTTTAGTTCCAGTGAATCAGACATAAGTTTGAACAAAACCCGAAATGGACATTTCACCCCACTTGAAAGTTTAAACAATCATGAAAAAATTCAAAATGGGTAAGTGAAAATAATATTTAACAGATAAATAAAATTAATAGAATGAATTCGAAATTTTTCTTAATTCATAAGTATTCAAGATTATCATCGTTCAGCGATTTAGGCGCCTAATGCTAAAATGCATTTATAAGCAATAGGTGGTAGTCAGACGACGTCATTATATGACATCACTGGTTTCGATACATAATAATAACAATTTAGGCAGTCAACTGGAGTTAGAAACTTTATGATCTTATGTGTCATAATATCCAAATGAGATTGTGTACTCACTAGGCAGTTAAATGGCCTTTGACATCATCACGTAACAAATGAAGAACAAATATCTGATGGACATTGTTATTGATAGTAACTCAAGAAAAATAGTGAAAATGACAAGTAAAGATGACAATAAACCCAGGGGAAATGCATTGACAGATGAAGTTTTCGCCATAAGTCTGCTAATATTAAATCAAAACTAAACTTGAAGAGATTCACTCATAGTTTGCTAACGAGTCAATAAGGTTCAAGTTGTCAGTGTCAACCTGCTCAAATAGAAGTCGTTTGAGAAGAAATCTGATGTACAGATATATTTGAAAGTCAGTGTTATTATCAACGAAAAAAACACTTGAAAATTGAAATAACACGAAAACTTGTTCAGGCTTGGTCACTATGATGCCACACAAGAAATCCTCAACTTGAAAGGAAGTCGTGACCAGTAGGGTGCAGCAGGTCAGGTGTGAGGACAAATACTCGCCAAAGACATTGGCTAGCGGTTGCGCTATATCGTGAATTGGCAGAAGTTAGAATTCATGGGCTGGTCATTGGATCGGGTACCAGTGGCTTAACGGTCTATGAGCCAGCTCGCCTTGTAACCAGAAGGTCCTGGGTTCGAACCCCGGTGGGTGCGTACTGATGAAGAGTCCCAAACTAGGATGAAACAGCTGTTCAGTACTCCCAGGTTTTCCAATGGTTCTCTAATCAATGTCAGCTCATGACGAAATCCTGTAACCAATCAACCAAATCCCTACAAACCAATACTTGAACAGATAATGATTTAACGGATTGGTCAGAATTTTAGACAACAGGATTCATTATAAAATACATGCTAAGTAAAACCGCTGACTATTATTTCACTTTATTCCTATTTGATTTATGTGTTATATTCCCACGAATTGGTCTTATCTTTCAGTAATATTTAAATTGTCTACTTATCGTGCACTAATCATTTTGAGACAAAAAATAATAAATAGAACAATGGGGCTTGAGAGACTTACATTTCGGAAATAATTGTTAACCCGTTTGTACACAAGATAATCGACATAATATTAAGTGACTGAATTAATATTTGGTTTTCAAAGAAGGACACAAATCAGAGTTATTAGGGGAACAATCATATTATTTATGAGGAGGTATAGAGCTGGATTTAGCTTCTAAATTATACCAAGAGACCTCTAGTTGATGTATTCGAATAAAAAATGAGTTGATGCCCCCAAAACTTTGACATTATAAGAGCTCAAATTTGTATCATTACACAAATAAACAGATATAAGACAATTTTGCTTAAACGTATTACTCCTCCAACTAATGTATTCTCCAAATTTTTATTAATGCAGAGTACCAACAGCACTGGTTACCAACAAACAATATAAGACATATAGAGAAGATATTCATCCCGACATTTAGAAAAAAATTGAGCAAAGAATATCCTTTTCGATGATTTTCTCTTCTGGCTCAATAATTATATATCTTCTATAGTTGGTTTGTAAGGATTAGTTTTGTTTTCTACGAGTTAATCACGAATTGATATCAGTTAGAGAAGTACTGAAAACCAGCACCGGAGTACTGGACAGCTGTTTCATCCTAGTTTGGGAATCATCGTCAGTACGCACCCACTGCCAGGGTTCGAACCCAGGATCTTCCGGTTACAAGGCAAGCTCGTATACCATTCAGCCACTGAGACCTGATTCAATGGTTCATGGAGTCTAACTTCTACCAATTCGTCATTTAGCGCGACCACCAACCAATATATATATATATATATACGGAGTGTTCTAGAATAATCGTCATAAACAATATTGGTATTTTTAAATACTATCGATTTGTTAAGATCAATGAAATTACAGTCCAAGAAAGACGCTTAGGTTAAAATAAGCATAAAAAGTAATCGTAAATAGATTATCAAATAAAATTAAGGAAATTTCCACAACAAATTGAAGATCATTACAACCTTGGTGGCCAAAGTAAGGACAGTGTCTGAAACAACTACTTTTAGATACATAAGTTAGGTTTTTTAATGTAGATTCCAACAACCTCAGCAATATGTAGTAGACTAACCCTTAAGGTAAAGTTAAGATTAGTTGGTACGCGGTATATGACTTTGAAAGTCTCCTTAAAAATTAATCTTGTGTTCTGTATCCACAAGATAAGATAGAATAGAGCTATGAATGGACATTATTAAAATAAACTTTTACAAAGATATTGCAATAGTTTGTTATGTTTTTTTATCAAGAATCGAAACTACTTGAATTAAGCATGAGAAATAAGGAACACTTAATGATTGTTTTGTACCAATATAAGACTGTCTAACAGAGAATACACTTGTGAACACATACGAGATCGGAATCATGACCATTAAATCTTCACACTGAGTTTTCTTCGACTACTTTTCTTTTTTACGTTTTACCGCTTTGTCACGTTGTGCGAAAGAGTGACTTGTTTCCTGTAAAACATAACAGTGTTGGGATCAATTCTCTTGAGAAGTCTCAAAATAAAATGAAACACTTGCTTATTTCTATTTAATTCTCAGTGATTCTCCATTTAATGTGATAGACGCTCTACTAAACAGAATTATATATATATATATATGCAGTACTTTCAGCTAACCGTCTGACTAATAATAATACGATATTCTTAACTTTCAGTGATGAAATCGACAGTGGTTCAGATTATGTTTGGTGAAGCTGCAAATAATCCCACGTGGAGACTACACATATCTTCAAATTTTAACATAGAAATAAAAAAGATTCAGTTGTCTATTTATCATATATATCACAGTGTAATTTTTATGAAATTGAAATTAAAGTCATGTCTTATGTATATGTTGATGGTCAAATATGTGATTTTCATTTAACTTTTCCACCGATAAACAAGAAATAAATATTTGAAAAAAAATGGGATTCTGAGTTCACTAAGTGCATTTTCAACTGATCTGCAAATGACTGTCAACTAATGATGACAGAATACATCTGGAAAATACACAATCATAAATTAATGTGGAAATAGTTTACTGATGTTATAGAAAGTAGCATAAAACACCAATATTCTCATAAATGCTCCAGTTAACGAAAATGCTGTATAGTATTGTATGTTAAGGTGACGTTCTTTTGCATTCCATGCCTTCCGAATGGAACATAGGGTTCCAAGCGGAGAATTACTTTTATAATTAGTGGGTGAACCTGCTAGTGTGGTGTCACGCTTATCCTCCCCCCTTTTCCAGGCCTAGTCAAGGTTTAGGAGTGCGTCGACCGGGAATCGAACCCCAAGCTCCTGTTTGGCTGGCTAGCAATCTACCAACGAGCCACCGACTCACAAAGTGGCGTATACTTCTGTAATTTTAAAGCTCACATCTTGAATGGTGTTGGTACTTGTATGTGCCATAGAAGTTCTGTGATTAATATCATTAAATATTGATTCACTTTCTGGGACAGGAGTAGGCGAACAGTTAATTAAGTTATGCAGTACTACGTATGAATAAAGTACTCAAATTGTTTTAATACTTATCAAAATTATATGCAAAGTTGTTTCTGTAGTTTTCCAACACAATAGATACTATGTCATGTAGAGATATTAGGAAAGAAATTGTTTATTCTTCATTTTTGTAGTGATATCTCTGACCATCATCGCTCTTAATAGATTCTAGGTGTTATCAAATATCGTATGGAAAAAATCTAAAAATAAAATTTACGATGTTATGTTTTTGTTAAAAAAAATAAGTATTTTAGGAGGGTTTAAGACACACCCTAGGAATTAAATCCTAATACTCAAATAACCAACATCTTAAATTACTAAAAAAAAAAGAATAATGCACAGAACCCACGAAATGCAACGTTAAACGTTATGAGAGATAAAAGGCATTCATAATTACTCTGTGCTTTTGAGTGCCGACAAACATGCAACCAAGAATCACAGTTACCAACCGACAGTAAATAAAAATATAGAAATGCTAACTATAATTACCTTCAAACACTACACCAGTATAAATGAAGTTATAATTTAACTTATACTGGCAACTGCTATTATATAGTATCGTCGATCGATATAGGAAGTATGTCCTACTCCGGAACTATCGACATCGAAATACCAACAATAGACAGAGTTTTATACGACAACAAAATTCATATTAGATGATATCTCATCTAAAATATACTCAACCGAAAGAGGGAGTAATGTTGTGATTCAGGAATATACAGCTATTTGAAGTGTCTTCAATCACATACAACGAAGTCATCAGGTCGACTAAATTACCATCGGAAATATGTAACTGGTTTAACAGATAACTATACGATTTCTTAACGCTATATGTAACACAGTATCTTTTATACCGGTGAGTGTCAGTAGCAAGTGTATCAGGGTACCACTCATAAATCATATGTATATATATTATATTAATTGGTATTAATAATCATTAAAATCTAACTACATAGAGTAAAATAGTATTAATAACTATCAAAATCAAAACTATACATTATTATTATTATCAATGATGTTGATGATTTGAAGTGAGAAAAGAAAACAAACAGAAGAGAACAGGGTGTAGTAAATCTCAGTTCATTAAAACAAAAATAACAAAGAGTATTTGTTGTTGTAATAGAAAAGGAAACAAATAGACACAGAGTTATCCCCTCAGTCTGTCTTGAAAGCAAAGAAGAGAAGATGAGGAATAAAAACCACCTTCACTTAGAATAGAAGCAAGTTGCATAATCTATTCACAATATAAATAAAAAAGGAAGTAAACCGTTATATATGTATAAGTCAGTATAGACTAAGAAGAGGTGAAGAATCTTTAACAAAACAAAAGAGTGGTTGGCACACACACACAATATATATATCCATACGAAAATACTTTCAACATGTTTGACGAAACTGCACAACTTATCATAGACTTGAATTAACAAAGGAAAATGGATGGGTAATAATAATAAGTAATAAGCACATTTAACTGCAACAACCAGATAAACCTTCGTCATCTGGTAGGAAGACGATCAATTTGGAGGAGAAGAAGAAGACAAAGAATGGAGGGGGGTTCAGTTAACTCGGGTTCTGATACACTAGTGAAATATAATTTACAGTGGAATAAATTAGATGTTGAATTGGAAGTCAAAAATATGTATGTGTATGTGTTTTATAAATTATCTTCACGACACTGAACTAATTCGAAGAATGGCGCATAAAAAGGTGGGGGGTAGGAAGAAAGTAGTCTTCAGAAAGAAAAGGAAGAGGAAGAAAACTGATCACTTTCATAATGAATTTTACATTTTTGTAAGAGAAAAGAAATGATTTGTGTTTATCGCATTGAATCAGAACAAATAAGAATGCTCTGAAAGGCACAATGAATTGAAGACATTCACTTACTTTCATGTCATGAAAGATGATCTAGCTTCTGTGTATCAGAGAATGACAATAGATTAGTTAAAATCATTTCATTTTCATTAGTTTTAGTTTTATTCCTATCTGTTGTCAGTGTATTACTCCCCCTGTCCTTATTGACAGTGTTATGCTCTAATGCAAGAAGTGAATTAGAATGATAACGATTAGCATTATTAGGTGGATCGCATACATAACGATCACCGATCAATCGCTGTTTGCACAAATTCATACGATAATCTGATGATATAACAGTTAGCTGTACACCACTGGCTGTTGAACCTTCACGAAAGAATTGCAAACTAACCGGTTGTGGCCTACCAGGACCATTGGTCAGTGTGAATTTAGCTCTGACTGTACCAGTTGCATCAAATTTTAAAGCAAATTCTGAACGATGAGAATTATTAGAATTTTTTAAAGTATCACGATCAATATTAGAATTCTGTAGTGGAATTCGCCATGTAGCATGATTAGTATCAGGTAGCCATGTCCCAACAGGAAGACTTTGCATACGACTCACATTTCCATCCACCAGTAAATTTATGCGTAAATCGCCAACATTTTTTATAGACCTAGAAAAGGAAATAGAATTGCTTAACATTTTTGGAAACTCTGAATCATTAGGTTTTATTGCTATCAAACTGTTGTCTACACAAATGCAAATGTACAACCACTAGTCTCTCTTTTAATTGAAGTCGATTAGTGCCAAAAAGACACTTCGACAAAATACACATATCAAAAACAAAAATAAAAGATAAGAACTTACAAGATAGTGTAACAGAATCTTAACAACTAGGCCAATTCCTTGCCTACATTAATCAACCTAATAAGCAGCAATTATTAAAGATTTTTCCTTATTTCCATTAAGGAAATGACAATAAATAAACGCGTTTATCATTTTGATTACATACCGACAAGTGTGTTTGCATTAAACTCAGAAACAGCACTAAAACCATCAGGTATTATCACCACCTTTCTCACTTTCTCTAATTACAACGAAAATAAAATTAATAAAGCGGGGATTTGGAAAGCAAGACAAGCTCTCATTACTCTCAAGTCTATGTGGAGATCAACAGAACTCCTCACCATGAAAAATAACATTCGGATTTTCAATTCCAATGTAAAGTCAGTGCTACTTACTATACGGATCAGAGACTTGGCGCCTCGTTACGAAGGCCACTTCGAACAATCTACACACCTTCATCAACAGCTGTCCTCGCTCAATACCACTCAAGATCAGATGGCCAGCCAGAAAAGATCAGAAACAGGGATCTTTAGGAACGAACCAACCAACCCAACCAGGAACCAATTATACAACAAATATGCAGGAAGAAATGGAAGTGGATTGGCCATATTCTGAGAAAACAAACCATCAAGTGAGTGACATCAGACGCCAGGCCATCGCTCGAGTGGAACCCGAATGGGGAGGGGCGAGTTGGTCGTCAGTGCGTAGTTGATATGGATATGGTCATGCGAAGACGAGACGAAAGCATGTGGGCAGACGTGTGGAGCCAGGTGGAAACGTTGGTGGAGAACCGAACGGAGACATGCGGCTGAAGCTTTGTGTTTCTCCAGGGACTGAAGGAGACAATAATAATAATCTTTATGACATAGCATTAGGGAACTTACTCTTTATTCACATTAGTTGTAGGCCATTGTGCTGTATAATCTAAACGGAAATCTGTAGTCGATGCTTCACAACGCCAATATGTACACAAGTGTATTGGAGGTGTTAGTGCAGGATAAGCTTTGCTCATATCTGCATTAACATCAACAGTATACGTTAAAACATCCAATTTAATGTATGTCGGTGAATTGGAAGATGTTGAAGAATTTAAATTATCTGATTTATCATTAGATGTAAATGAATTTTCTTCTGCATACGGAATAATTGATGGCAATAGATGACGTGATAGTACATCACCAGGAATAGTAAGCAAATACTCTGAATTCATATCGCTTTGTGTCTCAGAAGCTTTTGCACTGGTATTTGTTGGATTTCCAGGGAAATCTGTCCAAAGAGTAATAGCAGAACTTGTATTCTCTGAAAATGAACTAAAGAAAACCAGATATAAATGAAGTGTATAATTATGCAAAGCTATATAGAAGAAAATTTTGTTTCTTAATTAAATGCAACAGAAACCTACTACCAGATATAACTGCGAGTGAATAATGAATTTTAAACAACTAAACTGTGATTGTAATACTATAGAAAACAATTTTTATAAAGTTTTGACCGTTGGCGAAAGAAGTATGGTATTCTAGTTTACACTATTCCCGCAATGTTAGTCACCAAGTGAACAGTGACTAACAAATGAATGACACATATGAATTCACTATTCTTATAAATTCATATTTGTATGATAAGTACTACTGTGTAATACTTTTTTGAATCTTCCACAACTATACATGATGATATATGCTGCAACAGTTTTCAAATCTATGATGATATCAAGAACACCATAGATCAGCACACAAAAAAAACACCAAGTCATACACTCAGTTCGTTACCTTACAGGGCATTATAATGACAGAAAATAATGAGGTTCAAAATAAATAGACAGCATAGAGTGATAAGACATTGATTAGTTACCGATGTGTGACCAATATCACGCATATAGTGCTTGGTGTCGGAGCAGACTGAATCCTAACAGTCACGTTTGCAATGCATTCACCAAGCTAAATGGCTCACCATTGAGGTTCACTTTGAATACATATTAGATTTTCTACAGTTTGGTTTGTGAGGGTTACTTATGTTTTTACGAGTTGATCACGGATTGATATCAGTGAGAGAACCATTGAAAAGCAGCACCGGAGTACTGGATAGCTGTTTCATTCTAGTTTGGGAATCATTGGAAGTACGCACCCACCGGGATTCAAATCCAGGACCTTCCGGCTAAAAGGCAAGCTCGTATATCATTCAGCCACTGAAACCCTTACAAACCAAACTATAGAAAATTATTCTGATGCTCGCTAGTGACTTGCTACAGGATGGAGTTTCCTGGAGCTTTAGTGAGAAGTCGTGACCAGCGAGTTTCAACCAGATGTCACGTGTGAGGATGGATGTCCCACCAACGACATTGGTTGGGGTCGCGCTAAATCACTAATTGGTGGAAGTTAGAATTCATGAGCCATTGAATCGGGTCCCAGTGGCTGAATGGTATACGAGCTTGCCTTGTAACCGGAAGGTCCTGGGTTCGAACCCTGGCAGTGGGTGCACGCTGCCGATGACCCCCAAACTAGGATGAAACAGCTATCCAGTACTCCCTGTGGCTGGTTTTCAATGGTTCTCTCACTGATATCAATCCGTGATCAACTCGTAAAAACATATTAGATTGTCGACTGCAGTCGGCAGGAAGCCTGCAAACTCGACTGATATAATTCAGTCTGCACCAACACCAAGGACTACACGCATAACATTAGGTACCACCTAGTGTCCAATCAAAGCATCCATTCCAGTCCTGCAGGAGGTCAATCGTGAGTTCGAATACTTCAGTGGTTACGTCTTTGAATGCAGCAACAGATGACTCAGGTTCGAATCACAAGGAGGATGTAAGTTTCTTCAAGACTGCATACACGCCTTGCTGAGAAGGTCTAGGACTTTTTGTAGATTGCCTCCAACCATCTACCATAGCGATAAAACGACTCCCAAAACATAGAGTAATCTTCTGACGTTTTACCACCTTTGGAAGGTGTTTCTTTAGGAAAATAAAGCTGGTAAGAATTATCATAAATCTAATTAGTAATAAATTGTACTTTTTTGGGATTGAAGAAATCTATCTTCACTATGAGAGAGATCAACTCAGTGTTTAGCCAATTAGACCATATCTCGGTCCAGATACCTAGAAAATCTATCTAGACACTATTTTATATGCAACATGATCTGAAATTAACTGAGTTGCAGGATGATGACGACACAGAAGGCTACTTTTTAACTAGAAATTACATCACATGTTTGAAAGCTAAACACAACTGTACTTCCCCTCACTAGGTGATTTCCACCTCATACTCAAAGATCTGAATTCCACATTTAATGTGATTAAACTTCAAGTGGTTTCGATAATTAGATTTCCAATTGGAAAGTACAAATGAAGAGCAGAACAAATCAGTATTCTGTTCAGATTTAATTTGCCCAGTAAGCGCCAGTGATTTATAACTAATTAGTAGTAGTAGAGAATATTTGGGGCTATTTTGCACCTGGAATGAACATATATTATTATTACTGAAATAAATGGACATTGAAATAACAAAGATGATTGCAAAACCCTAATGAAACACCATATATCTATCTTAAGTAGACATTCACCGGTGAAAACAAAAAAAACAATTTTGAAACAACCACCAATAAATACAATTTAAAATCCCAGTAACTTAATGTTTGTGTTATCATTGTGCGTCAGTGGCTCAATGGTAAGATGTTCTCTAACCACACGGGAAGTTCAGGTTCGATTTTTGGCCGGCGCACTCCTAAACCTTCCCCCCCCCCCTGGTTTACTATCCCGTAGTGAGCTCGGAAAAGAGGGAGAATTGAGCCCACTGTTCTATCCGGAACGCAAAAGAATTAAGTGTCATTATTACTAATACTGTCAGTGATAACGTACCAGCACTCATTCGACATGAATAATCTTCACTAATGTACATTGGTGTATAGGAAAAGGAAAGTCAAACTGATCACCAAATGAAGAGGAAATGCAATCAAGTTCTATCACTCTTGCAAGTATGCCAATGATGTCTGTTAATACACATAGAAGAATAAAAGTGATCGATATTCTATAGCTTCTAGAAAGTGAGACTGCTCAATGAAGAAGAATAAATTGTAGAAGAAATCTAATTTAATAAATGATCACACTATGGTATTATCATAGCAACAGCCTTTTTAGAATCTCTGATAAAAACTTAATAATGCTGGCGAACTACACGTATTATTCTCTACACGACCGGTAGTGCTACCTCAACTGAAAGATGAAGTACCTAGACTAGCCACTTCGAATTGCATTTTCCAATTAAACTGTGCTTGTGGAGCGAGTCATATTGGCCGTTGCTCTAGGAACTTAATTTTTCGTGCCCGAGAACATCTCCCACTATGGCTAAGTAAAGGTGTGGTGAAAACCATTACCAGTTCGATATTAAACCATCTGGTGCAAACCGGTCACAAAGCCAGCGTAGAAGAATCCTTCTCTATAATATACCGGGTGCCTAACAAACTACCAAAATCGTCGAAGCACCGCATGCTCCAAACAGCAGAGGCTATTGCGATTCGCCTCAAACAACCAGTGCTCTGTGTGCAAAAGAAACAAGTCCAGCCCCTACTACTGCCCTGGCCCTCAGTAGAGACTATAAACTCACGAATTTGTACTATTACCCTTCCTAATTCTTCTGACATTCAGTTTATTTTATGTTGATGCTGTTCAGCTGTAATCTATCAATATTATTGATTTGATGTTATTTAAAAATTAATGTCGTTCTGAAATAATAGAGAAGATTTGTAGCTCAGGTGGATGATTTGCAATTAAAAGTGTTCTCTGAGCTGGTTGGTTTAGTTGCGAAGCTTTCGTCGTCCTTCTGGACAACATCTTCAGCGCCATATTTAGCACGAAGTGAAATGATTTAAATTTCTTCATGCGTGATGTCGTTCATAAGACTGATTCATTCATTCATTATAATGTATATATAATCGTAGAACCTGATGATGAATTTATCGAAAAGAATACTCTTTGTTCCGTGTCTATTCTTTTGAAAATAATTTACTTTTTTTAAAAACAAACAATAAAAGATCAGTTTACCTGATAGACGAACCAGAAAGTTTAGCTTGTAAATCCTGTAATCGTGCAGCATTGGTAATTTTAAGAATAAGAGGTGTAATAACTAATCCATTCAAAAGTTTCTGTTCAACATCTGCACGTGGAAAGGCAAGCGTTAAACTACCATTGATTGCTTGAATAGGAGGTTGACATGTAGATGCGGCAGTGGAGAAAGAACTACCACCACCATTAAAAAACCGGGCATGCCAAGTTTCTGTAAATGCAGCAGCTAGACAGATAATATTATTAGTAGTAGTATTCGCTGAATTGATTGTATAGGCAGAAGGCGAAGGTGTTATGGTGCGCTCTGTATTGAAACTGTTATTCAAACGATTATGCAGACGTGCAGGTGGTTCAGGAATCACTCGACCTTCCTTAGACACTGTACTACAAGGGAGATTAGTATTGAAAGAAGATGGCCAAGATTCAGAGGAATCGGGAAATTTGGATTTTTCGCCTACATCTGTATCAAATGCCATCTGAAAATTATGAGGAAAATAAATGTAGACAAATTACGTACAGTAGAGATGATTCAACGACAAAAAGTGCATGTTTCAGTGAAACGAGCAACTATGAAGCCTTTTAAATTATGTTAATAAGTTACATGTACAGATATTTTAAAAAGTAATTTTTGATAGAGTAACCGCGTGTGAACAGATATTATTTTTCGTTAAACTTCTACAATGCCTGGCACACGAGTTTCAGAGTCGACTGTATTGAATTTATTGTTCGGATCCGTACTTTATTCTATTATGAAAAGTTGTATTCAGAAATTCAACAGTGAAATTAATTAATTGTAAGCTCAATGGAGATATAATAGACAGAACAGCTTACACACTAGCAAAAAAATCTAGAAGAGGTGGAACGATGAAGTCGGTGACCACTTCTTGAATTCAATATCAACCGACTCAAAAAAACTTTTAGTATACTGGTTTGCAGCTGTCATACGTACAGATATACACAAAGTAATTTAATTGTCATATAAAATAGATTTCTGTAGTCAACCAATTAGTTCCAGCGGTATATACTAGTTTGATCATAGGTGCCTGCTTTCTATCTCCCGTGTGAAGTGGTATAATAGGGTGAGCAATATTGAGGTTAGGCGTCGTGTGATAGGTAAAGAGGGGAAATCAATAGACGAGGCTGTGAAGTTACATCGACTGAGATGGTTAGGACATGTGTTACGTATGCTTAGTCATCGCCTTCCTCGACGGGCAATGTTAGCTGACATAGGGTGAGGTTGGAAAAGAGCCAGTGGTGGTCGAACCAAAACATGGCTTCATTAGTCAATAAAATCCACAACAGTTAGTTTAAGCCAGCCACGTACGGAGGTTTAGACTGCTGTCTGGTTGTGATCCTCGGGATGGCAAACACCAATATCTGGAGACAATTGGTGATATGGCTCAAAATCGTTCTCAGTGGTGCAGATGCATCCACTCCTTGTGACTTATAATATCCAATAAAAATATATATTGTTCTTCGGTATTACTATTCTTTTTGCCTCATATCTCTCTTTACTGTCTCTATTTTGCGTTTCTTTTTACCTTCTTCTTCTTCTCTGGCTTTTGTGTGCTAAATGAAGTGTGGCGACTAGAACTGCTGCACATCGGTGCAAAGTTCTATGTTGAAACCAGTCAATCAGTCAGTCATATAATAGTTTAAAATGAAAACAAATGGAGCTTAGAAGAAAAGTAAAAATGCATCTTGCCTACATATCACACAGGCTTTCTTTATGCACTAGCCTAAGTCACACTTAATATACGAGAGATTATGACTTCTACCCAACTGTATAGATTGAAACTCATTAGTCATTGGAGGTTAGGCGGTTAGTTTAATGGGCTACACACCTCCATGTCGAATAACTAATATATATATATATATATATAATTTATGTAAACAGGCAGTTTACTGGTGAAGCAAGCAGTTGTATTCACTTACCCAGTTTGTCTGAGGAGTTGATGATTCATTATTCGATGTAGGCGCTGTACTAGAACATCGTCGAACTGTGCTATCCTCTGTAGGCCATACATTAAGACTCATTATAGATGAAGAATGTCTTTCTAAATTGTTTGTAAGACTCGCACAACTCACAGAATCGTTGAATCCTAGCTCAAATTCAGAAGAACACTTGTTTTTCCCTGAATCGGAAATACTGAATTCCACGGGTTTCTTGTTTGTTTCTTGAGCAGTAAACAAGGTATCCAAAGACGATAAATCACTTGCTGTATTACTACTAGTCATTTCATGCGATTCAAATGATTCTGTATTGTTCATATGACTAAAATTATCTTCTAAAATGGAATAATAAATACATATACACACAGAAGCTAAATAAAGCAGCAATGTGATTATGTGAAAATGCTTAATACAAGCATAAAGTACAAATTCTTGCAATATTGTTCTTACACATTCAAACAAGTGTAGCCTGCATGGGACTAGGTGTTAGCGAATTTAGCACACATTTATGTAAAGAAACTATACAGATAAAACACACAGATGAAGCGCGCTTTCACACAAATTGAGATCAATGAAGACGCAATCACATATAATTAGCATAATATAAAAATTATTTAAAATTGAATATTAACGGCGTGTTTGCAGTGTGCGCGTACAGCTTATATGACATGCTGTATAAAACAGCAAAGTTTTATACCTAAATTTCAACAATACATTGAAATTATTTCTTATTCTGTAGTTAAAAGATAGACACCGCTTCATTATTATTATTATTATTATTGTTTCCTTTAATTCCTAGAGGAACATAGGGTTTCAGCCGTGCGTCTCCATTGCGTTCCGTTCTCTGCTAGAGTCTTCACCTGGCTCCAAGTTTGACCACACGCTTTCATCTCCTCTTCACATAACCTCCTCCAAGTCACCCTTGCACTGACGACCAACTCGCCGCTTCCCTTTCGGGTTCCACTCGAGCAATGGCTTGTCTAGTGATGTCACTTGATGGTTTCCTCAGAGTATGGTCAATCCATCCTCTGAGGAAACCATCATTCGATATGAAAATCGAATGACTTCACTGATATGAACACATGCATCATTCATTCTTTTCTCTGATATCAACTTTTTGGGCCGAGATTTCACATGAATATCCATCGTTTATCGGTCTTATTATTTTATTCCTTTCCGTTCCTAATGGAACATAGGGCTTCAAGTTAGAGGCTTGAAGTTTCGGTAGCAGTGGTGATTATTTTTACAGGATCGGGTTGCTGGCCTCATACCCAACCTGCCCTCTTTGCCGATCTTACCAGCGGCTTAGCGAGGTCTAGGAGTGCGTCAGCCGGTGATCGAACGCCAGACCACATGCATGGTTGGCAAGCATTCTACCGCTGTACCAACGACGCAGACTTATCGGTCTTAAACAATATAAATAAATACTTCTCCTATAAGAAGGTCTTTTATGAATAAAATACAACTGAGAACAGAGTTAAACACCAATATACCTTTAAAAATCTATGGATATGTAAGCTAATAAGAAGGGGATATTTAGGTTTCAATTTCGCCTTAGAAATGATGAACTTAGATAAATTCTGGACATTTGTCAAATACAAATATACACCGGTTATCATAGCTAAACCGTACGCAGGTATAACTTTCAAGAAAACTAATGACAGCCTAAAAATGGACAATTGAGTAAGGATCGAACAGTTTTATTTTAAGCATGTGATGGTCGGGGTAATGGTCACAGAGGTTAGATGAATTAGTAAATAAGGTATGAGAACTAGAACTAGTTCACTTATCACCTAAATGTAACTTACAGAAAAAGATCAGATACATTTCAATGTTAGCAATGGGAATTTAATATAACCAGCTTTCGAAATATTTACCCACTGGCCAACTGAACTCTCATGTTTCAACTGTTATTCAGTTATACGTAAAGCTGGTAAAATAACAGTATACTGAACACTAAAGTATTCGTAGCTTTAGTAATATCATTGTAATTATAATCTGCTTAAAGCGTAAAACGACCTTAAATCCCTTGAATTACACAACAAGAACAAATATGTCAAAAAGAAAGTATTTAGTATTTTATTAGGTCCTTTTATTTTTTCTACTGAAAACTTAAAATACGAAACCTGATATACTCAAGTATTTTTGAGGAAATTACTTCCATTGAATTGAATTAGTTGGAAAAGAAACTATGAAAACTTATTTGCTGGTTAAATTTTCTTGACCAATATACTATACTATGCTAGAGACAGCAATAAACCAAACAACAGCATTCAACTTTTTGACTCCTGCACAGTAAAGCTTCATAATTTCAACAAGAAAGAGAAAAAAGTAGAGTGAATATACGGATCAAAAAAATTCAACCAATCAACAGCAACAACAACCAGTACCAATCACTATCAACGGGAGAGATTTAACAGAGGTTGCCTTCTTCACTTATCTGGGAAGCATCGTTTCAACTACAGGCGGAACGGACGAAGATATCAAAGTCAGAATCGGAAAAGCAAGATACGCCTTAATACACCTGAAACCAGTTTGGAAATCTTCCGCACTCAACATAAAGAACAAGATTCGCATTTTCAACACCAATGTCAATTCTGTTCTCCTATACGGGTCAGAAACTTGCACTGCGTGTCACGGAAAGGATTTCCAATAGATTGCAGATTTTCATCAACAGCTCTCTTCGCTGGCTCCATACTGAAGGTCAAATGACCAGAAAGAATAAGCAACAAGAAACTATGGGAACAAACAAACCGAGAGACGATCGCTCAACAAATATGTAGGAAAAAGTGGAGATAGATCGGGCATACATTGAGGAGGCCGCCGAATGACATCGCACGCCAGGCCCTCGAGTGGAATCCAAATGGGAAGCGACGAGTGGGTCGTCTTAGGGTGACATGGAGGAGATCGTGTGAAGAAGAGATGAGAGAGTTTGGTCAATCGTGGACCCAGCTGAAGAGGACAGCAGAAAACAAAACAAAGTGGAGATGTGTTGTTGAAGCCCTATGTTCCACTAGGAATGCAAAGGAATAATAATGATATTATAATAATGACTTCCCCTTACTTACATAAAGTTTAGTTGTCTTCATGTATGATTACAGAAACTCTTATTAATTCAGTCAAATAGTAGCGGAAAATAAGACAAACTATCAACAGTTGCAAAGATCATTAGATCTTTAAATAGACAGAATCATCTATTTGATTACACCGTCAGACTGTACAACAAGTCAATTACTTTCCACGGGTTACATTTCTGCTACTTACAGAATGCTGCATTATACTATGAACTTTAAAAAACTTTCAAAAAACATGAAATCTTACAAGATACTTCTACAAAATGCAAAAATAAGCATACTCAACATTTTCTGAAGCATATTTGTATACAAGCTGAACCTCAATAGTAATAAGAATAATTTAAAAAAGATACTCTAACTAGTCTATCATATCATTCTAAAAATGTATATATTTCTTAATTTCTGCAAACAGCATCTATTAAACACCTTATTTAAAGTTGCTACAACTAGTGTCACTATTGCCTTCTTTAGTTCTTAGAGGAATATGTCGCCATTGCGTTCGGTTCTCTGACAATGTTTTCACCTAGCTCCATGTCTTCCCACATGCTTTCATCTCCTCTTCACATGACCTCCTTCATTTCACCCTCGAACTGACGACCAACTCGCTGCTTCCTATTTAGGTTCCACTCAAGCGATGATCTGGCATGTGATGTCACCTGATGGTTTGTTTTGTTAGAGTATGACCAATCCACTTCCATTTCTTCCTGCATATTTGTTGTACAATTGGTTCCTGGTAAGGTTGGTTCGTTCGTTCGTTCCTTCAGATCCCTGTTACTGATCTTTTCTGACCGGCCATCTGATCTTTAGTAGTATTGAGCGAAGACAGTTGTTGATGAAGGTGTGTAGATTGTTCGAAGTGGCCTTCGTAACGAGGCGCCAAGTCTCTGATCTGTAGAGTAAGTAGCACTGACTTCACATTGGAGTTGAAAATCCGAATGTTATTTTTCATGGTGAGGAGTTCTGTTGATCTTCACATAGACTTGAGAGTAATGGAAGCTTGTCTTGCTTTCCCGATCCTCGCTACTCTAAATAAATTTGTAGTAAATACTGCAAACATAAAAATAAGTTAGATTTTATCCGAAATAATGTCCAAGTTAAAATGCATCACTTTGTCTGCGTATTTTTATAGGTGGAATTGCTCACACTGTGTACTGTTCAATGATAATACATTGATCCATTCAACAATGAACACTCTTCATTGATATAACTGACTGATCTAATACTATTAGTTCCTAAATATCTCTTAAAACTTCAGCTTCAAACAGCTGAACTCACTATGACTTTATGGTTATTTTGCTTTATTGTCAAGATAACATCACAGTATAGTAAGTTTATCTTATCTCATTTTAAGAATTTAAGTAGTATTTTTCCAACTAATTTTAGCAAGTACGTCAGTGGCACAGCGGTAGAATGCTCGCCAACCACGCATGTGATCCGGCATCCAATCCCCGGCCGACGCACTCCTCTACCTCGCTCAGCCAATAGTAAGACTGGTGGGGAGGAAAGGTTGGGCATGAGGCTAGCAACTCCATCCCGTAAAAATAAACACCACTGCTACCGAAACTGTAAGCTTCTAGCCTGAAGCCCTACGTTCCACTGGGAACGCAAAGGAATGAAAAATTTTTTTTTAGCAAAGAACTGTGACGCCAATTGCACACATCATACTGAATTAGCAGGTAACATTAAATATATGCATACAGTTGGAAACTTTAATACTATAAAATTTTGGAAATATAATAATTTCTTCTGTTTATTGACTATACAGATGTAGCGAATACATTGGACGTAATGATTAAATACTACGGTGTAATGGTAGTATAGACAATGACGATGTTGATGATGATGATGATGGTAACAGTATGAATAAGAATCAACTACAGATATGGTGCCCAGTGTAATATATTGTGGATACACACAGCAGTCACTCATCAAGCGCGATTTACAAAACTAACGCTTAAGAAGTGAAGAATCACCAGATAATAATAAGCGCACACTTAATTCCGGCAATGGACAAACAAAATTAATGAACAGCACAAAAAAACTGAATGTGTGTGTGTGTAAAATTGTGCAGAAACCTATATATATATATATAAAATATAAAAATGAGTTATAAACAACTCCAGTGCAGTGTATGGTTATTACAACTATTAGCAAAGAATAGATATTTCGATTGGCCAATGTACTACTAATGAGTTCATAATGACTATACACACACGTACTAGTTGGCGAGATATTATATGTTCCTCGAAAAATGCTATTTACATGAACTTTACTGCGATATCTTCGTGGAAGAGTGAACAGTTTGCCTAGAGAATATAATAACATGTTATGCATTTTATCTATTAACAAAACAGATCTCACACTAAAAAGTAAAATGTTAAGGAACATAACGAGGTAAACAAATGCAAAATTAAGTTGAATTAGGTAAAGGGTGTGCAGTTTTACTTTCGATGACTCACAGCTGTTGCGCTGATGTGGTCAACAGGTTTGTATATCCTTGAAGTTCTAGCATGTGGGAAAATTCGGTTGGACTAAAAGCAGTCACCGCTATTACACGAATCTAATAATGACTACTGTAGAGCTTTGACAACGATCTATGTAAGACACATTCCCCGAATGGCCAGTATTCATCCGTTCTGTCTTTCCAATTCAGAAATAATAGGTTAGGAAGAGTCCACTCCGAGAATTAAGCAATTAACGCTGACCTATACGCTATGCGTAGGAGTACCTTAAATCGTAAGTGATTCCATGAGAGCTAACAACTGTAATCATAAATCACTGGCCTTAGGTGAAAATTCTTCGAGCATTGGAATCACTTCCGTATATTGTGGAAAGACACCAACTTTTACTGTATGGTCAACCAGAAATTATCAATAAAACACAAAACACCTACCACCTAACAGGCAAAGTCAAGTGACACTAATCACTATTTCAGACTAAAGTTATTGAAGGATTTACCAACATTCAGCAAATATAGTAAGACAACTCAGAGACTGAATGAACTTTTCTGAGATACTTAAACTAATATTTTAAGCCCCTAACAATCGCAAATTGAATGAATCCTGAGATCACCGATATATGGACGAAATTCGAATATATATATATCAGTTATATTTTCATTTGTTTAATTATACACCATACTCCAAAAACAAAAGGTAAATACGCTAACATCAACTAAAACCTACCTACCACATCACACAATGAAAATAAAAACATATCATGTGCATAAAGGTTCATTCGTTATAATCACCACTATAATAAATTTAACTGTTGGTAGGTCAAAAAATGTTCGAACAACTGATTGAATGAATATTGGTCATCAGAGAACAATCATCGTATAAAGTAATAACTCAGTTCATTAAAACAAAAAAAAATTTTTTAAATAACCTCAAAATACTTATTTCGTTTGTTATTTCTAACCTAACAAATTGATATATTGAGAGTTTAACTCATCATATATATACTTTAGGTCAGACAAAATGACAGAAATAGTGTGTGTTTGTTTTCAGTGCGTAAATTTACAGCATTGATTACATACACATCTTCACACAGAACCAAATGTTGAAGATAGTAGGTTTCAATGAAAGGAGGTATCAACTCAAGAGGAGTTTGAAGTAATATGCATTATGAGGGAGTCAGACAGGGGTGCTTATTATCACCAATGATATTCCTAATTGTGGTGGACTGGATCATGAGTCAGACAGTGGGAAACGAGAAGACAGAGATATCCTAGACCGACGTGAAGAACCTAGAAGACCTGGATTTCGCGGATGATTTATGTTTGATGTCACACAAGATCGAAGACTTATAAGCGAAAACCAATAAACTGATCGAGAAAGCAGCAAAGACAGGACTTCAGATGAACATAGACAAGACGGAGGTTATGAAAATAACCAACCAACAACAACAACAACAACAGCTGCAACATCCAGCGCCAATCACCATCAACAGAAGGGATTTGAAAGTGGTTACTTCTTCCACTTATCTAGGGAGCATTGTCTCAACTACAGGAGGAACGGACGAGGATGTCAAATCGAAAATCAGGAAGGCGTGAAACACATTCATCAACCTGAAACCAATCTGGAAATCTTCGTCACTCAACTCAGCATCAACAACAAAATTCGGATTTTCAATACAAACGTCAAGTCAGTCAGTTCTTCTATACGGATCAGAAACTTGGCCAGTGTGTCACAAGGAATATTTCCAACATGTTGCAGACCTTTATCAACAGCTGTCTTCGCTCTATACTCAAGATCAGATGGCCGCCGGAAAGAATCACCAACAAGAAACTATGGGAACGAACAGAACAAGAACCAATCGCCCAACAAATATGCAGGAGAAAGTGGAGATGGATTGGACACTCACTGAGGAGGCCGCTGGGTGACATCGCGCGTCAGGCCATAGCTCGAGTGGAACCCGAAAGGGAAGCGGCGAGTGGGACGTCCAAGGGTGACATGGAGGAGATCGTGTGAAGAGGAGCTGAAACAGTATGGATTAACATGGATGCAGGTGAAAAGTACAGCAGAAGACAGAAGCAAGTGGAGGCGTGCAGTTGAAGCCCTATGTTCCACTAGGAACCCAAGGGAACAATAAATAATAATAAAATAGTGATCACCCTTGACTCAGGACACCACATTGGTTGACTACCGTAAACTAGTGGTCTAGATAATTAAAACCAAACAAATGAAGCAATACACCAAAGAATAGTACAACCCAGGTAATATTAATGAGCCATATATATGCAACATCGAACCCACCCACAACATATGATGAAGGTTAGTAATAAAACAGCAGAGATGTGGTTCACTGGCCTGATTATCATCAGCCCTCATACAAATATGCACAGCTCATACTCTGATGTATGAAAAATCTGTTCCGGACAAGTGGGAGTACTAGTAAGAAAAAAACAAGGGGCATGTAAACTTGACTAGTGAAGTAATTATTAGGTCAGTTATATTGCTTTAATCCCCCGAAATTTATTATAAATGAATACCGTTATTGAATTTTAGCTCAGGATAAAACATATTAATATTACTACACTTTCAGCTTTTAATTATTGAATTTTGGATAAAAACTCTCCTCTCTACTTACTGAATTTAGGATAACGATGTAGAATCATGATACTATACACAACAGATATTGCCTATAGTCTAGTGTACAAAACTACATTCTCCCCTTGACTAATAAAAAAGCAGATAAACAAACTACTTACGTAAGCTGTGTTAGTTTAAAAGTTAGCAATAATTACACGTATCTACACTAAGTGTACTACTCTTACACCTTAAACAAACCCACACCAAATGAAATAGAAATGAGGATAAAAAAGTTACTAAATTATAGAAACCATAAATAAATAATAATAATTACTTTTAGTCCATGTATTACAACTATATCCACGTGGACGTATTGTAGTTATTGGATTCCCTTTACCTAATGTACTACACGATGATGCGCCAGCATTTCGAACACGCATTGAACCACCAGTAGCAAATAGTTCTGATGTAGTTGATGATGATGACGGTGGGGGAGGAGGAGGAGGAGGAGGTAACAAAGGTGGCAGAGGCAATGCATTAATCAAAGCTTGTCCAGATACAGCAACTGTCTCTGTATTAACTGGAGTACTTTGTTGTGAAGGCATAGTTGTGCGCGGTGACCGAAATGTTGACCCAACACGATGGTCAATAAGTACGGGATTTTGTGAATTAGCATTGTATTTAAGACTTTTCAGTGTTTCTGGGAGTTTTGGACGAGATCCAGGTTTATCACTATCATATTTGGTTGTTATTCCTGGAGCCAGTTCTCCGACAGGACGAATATTAACCTAAACGTAGAGAAATAAAAATATACATATAAACTTTAGCTTACATAGAGGTATATAAACAAAAGAAAGTGAACTTTATAGGGAATAAATTCTACCAAATAATTCCCAGAAGTATGTGCTAATTTGTAGATGTTCATAAATCAATGAGTCATTCTAGCTTGTCTATTCACTTTCCAACTTTATATACAGTTATATATGATGGATCAAGAGATGCTGTTTCGTAACTCTATTGGTAATTCCCATATATGTGACAATAATTAATTGTAAGTTTATTAATGTGTGTCTTAGTTCACTCAAGGATTATAAAAACTTAATACGTAGAGTTTTTGACATATACATACTGTCTGTCAGACTAAAGGTCTGAATTTCGGTTATTCTAATAATACAAGATAACTACTACAATCTGTGAGGTTCTGGTTCGAGTTAATTCTAATTCTGGAAAAATTACTTCTTAATTTGATTGGAAAAATAGCACATATTATATCTACTATTAACTAAGCGTCACATTGTGTTCTACGTGAAGAAATTTTGGTGGAATCCAGGATGTGTTTCGTCCTATTGGGGACTCGTCAACAGGGTATATCACCACTTCCAGAGAGTGACAGTTTTTCTACTGAGACCCAAACCTAGTAACTATCGTTTTTCATGTGTTATACGTGTTTTAATCGACATCTTGATATCAGTACTACAAGTGGAAGAGAATACTAAAATGAAGGACGAATTAACGTTGCTTCAACAAGTGAAATAGGCCACACAGTCAACAACTGAACTTCATCTATACACACTTGTTTGAAATTTCAGTATCATTCCTTTCTCTTTATTTCACTGATAAAATGTAGTGTTCAACAGCTAGTTATCATTTCAACACATAAAAATTATCTTGCTATCATTACTACTTTCAACAATAAATATTTAGGTCTAATGAAAAACGCTTTACATGCCATCAAAAAACATTTCTATGTAATTTATAACTGTAACTCATAAAATCGATATCTAACTGAAGGCGTAGTTCAAATTAGGGTTGTTGAATGCCAAGCTTTCAATGATACAATAGTCTTATAGGATTATTTCCCTCTTTGAATATAAGAAGTGAAATAATACACATTGGATAGATTTTCGAGTGTCAGTTTGCAGGAATTTGATTGATTCCAAGTTAGATCATGGACTTTTATCAGTTAGAGAACCAATAAAAACCACGGAGTACCGGACAGCTGTTTCGTTCTAGTTTGGGACTCTTCAGTAGTACGCACTCATGACCTACTTGGACAACTGACTGGTAATACAAACTAATATGAGTTTAAATCGAACTTTACGTCGTAAACTAGACAAGACATAATGACTACAACCAACGACAGAAACAGCAGTATGGCGCTTAGATTATTATTATTTTAATCCATATTTTTACTACATAAGTCCATCGTGTTATTGATTACATTTTGACCTGTGACTGGCAATAGTTCTGGAACTTTTTCAACCCCTTGTTAAATATTCAATAATGAACAGTTTAGCTGATGACTTCGTCACAAAAGAATTTTCTCATTGCAACTGTCTTTTGTTTTTCTATGACCCCACTGGTATTTTCCTCCGTTTATGAAATTCTAGACTGTTACACAGGTACTTAGAAAGAAAACAATCAGTGATTGGTGTAACAACTGCAATGATCCAAAAACCTCTTTGTGATTCTGTCAAAAAAACTGACGAAATACAACAAATAACTCGAAAATATACAAAAATGCATAAAATGCCAGTTGACTCTTTCAGCAGAAAAAATAAATTAAATAAAATAGATAAAGCAATAAGAAGACGTAATTTGTCTGAATTGTGTAATGTATTTGCGCAACACATTTCGAACAATCTGATCACACACGGACTTGTCACAGAAATATATATGAAATTAATAAAGAGTTAAGAGGTGAGAAAATAGACTTAGGTCAAATTAAAAGGACATATTCAAGGTCAAAGTAACAATCAAGACCACTAAACCATATAGCAGAGGTATTGTACATCTGCTATGGTATCAAAACAAAATTTTACCAAGGAAGGTTCAGTGTGATGACGAATTGTTTTTGAACGCATAGAGGTGATTTAAACTTTCTAATTGCCAGCTAGGGCTTCCACAAACTTCAGGATACGCCCCAAACACGTTTTATAGATAGGTTTAGAAGATGTGTTAACGTCACTTTTATATCCTGTCTCCTCTATAATATGTTTCGCAATAGAGGAGCTAGGTCTCCTGTTCTCACCATTAATTGGTTCTGAAGATTCTATTTGTTTCTGGAGCCATTTAGGAATATGCTCTGAAGCCCTTACTTGCAGAGATCGATGAGTCCTCCCCTCCCCCTATGTATGTGTGTCGACACGTACATTCAAATTGGTAAATACAGTGAGATGTGACATCATTTTTCGCATGTTCGAAGGGCTTATTATTGAAACATTACTATGTTACTAGTTGCATAAAAGGTTTTTTTAACAGCAGCGTTCAGTCTTTGTCTAGTTATCAAGCTGTTATGATGCCCCATATACGGTAGCTTGATGTATACGTCATAAAGGGAACTAATTATTTTAAATAAGTGAAATAGTTGCATCATAGATATAAGAATAGAACTTTTGCACCGTAGTAGAGTATAGTTCCATTGTTGCATATCAATCGTCAGTTTATGTCACTACCGAGTCATACATTATTACTAGGAAAAATGAGTGAACTTCAAATGTACACAATTAGGAGGTGCTCAGTTCAAAACAATTCTTTTTCTTACTCTACTTATAAAGAAATACTTCCCAAATTTGTGATAGCTGTTATACAAGGAAATTCATATTGATGGAAAAGGATATTTTTCGGCAAATTCGAAACAGTAAAACATTGAAAACAAAGCAGCACAGTACATTCGCTTGATCAGCATCATCAGGGATTCCTCACCAGGATCACCAGGAATCTTGTAATGACGACTACATTATATCTGATACACTGAATTCTGTTTAAGATATAATCAATTTTTAAATTCAACTTATGCTCTAATATACACAAGCTTATGTTTCAGAAACACACATGATTAGCCCTGAAAGCTATAAATCACTATAACCCAAAGTTTTCACTTACGAAGCTAGTTTGTAACCACAATTGATGCACGATTTTAACCCAGTATCTTTGATAAAATACAACCACAAGATGGAGAGATGTAGCTGATTTGCTCAATCAATGAGTTCAGGGATTTGAATCCCCGTTCACCTACTTTAACCTAGGCGATAAAGTAGCATGATTAGCTCTCGCAAAGACATTGGGAAGTCTTTCTCAGACAATTGAGTTCTAAATATCTAAGAGGGCTTTTCAAGAGACGCATTTAGGTGAAAACTTAAGAAAATTCTACTCATTCAGGAAGAAAATGGGCAACAATTCACGAGCACAACTTGTATTGTAACAGTTTACAAATTTATATAAACTTGTGAAGAAAACGGCTTCATATTTAGTTTTAAAATATGATATATAACCAGAAACAGTCATGCAACCCAAAATGCACATGCTTTTCTGCGCTAGACCTATTCCTACAGTGCGAGAAGTGTAAATACCAGTTGGCCACTGAAAATCTACCCAGGGTTACGAGGAATTGCCGATAGAACAAGACAAAGGACACATTTTGCTACATGGGATTCCTTAGAACGAATTCGTTCATAATAATGAGGCATATTAAGAATGATCAGTCTTCTTTAGTATTTTGAAATATACAAAGCAGTAAAATATACACGAACTTACTTTCAAACCATGAAATGTTTTATTTGCTTCATTCTCTGATTCATCTTCGGAGGCTGAATCATCAGCTTCAGAATGATCCAGATTGGCACCATTTTCACCCCATGGATCTGATGGTCTGATATTATATCCATCTTCATCCTTTGGTAATTCTACAGGCGTTGCCGTCCGCCAATCATCGCTTTTTGAAGTTATCGTATCTAACTCATCAATGGTAATGTGATTTAGAATAAAGTAAACAGAAAATCATTAAGATAAACGTTAACGAAAAACGTAAATGTAAATGAAATTATTCTTCTTTGAATCTAACACGCTATGTAACAAGATTTCTTATTATGTATAGTGACGGATATTTTTTATTTTTTTTTAAATTTTATTCCAGCTTGATTCCGCACAATATTCTGGTACATGTACAGAATTTCCAGCATGTGATATCGGTAGCCCAAATGTAGCAGGCCGACCACTGATATCAGGTGTGTGTCGGCCGGTGATCGAACCCCGGATCTTGTGTATGGTCGGCGAGCGTCCTAGCCGCTGTGCCACCAACGAATATTTCCCATTCAAATTGCACATTTCCTGGTAGTTTTAATGCTTTAGAATTTTGTATATTAACACAGAGAGAGAGAGAGAGTTTAGATATCGGTTCACGTGGTCACTTCAGTACGCTTAGTAGAACCCCGCTAAAGGTTACTTTTACTCGAGTCATACTTCAGACAAAATACAGTGACAGGATAAATAACAGCTTCACATACAAGACAAACATTAACGCTATCTAATGTGATTCAAATTTACCGGTTGTATGTTCAGAATTCGAATATTTCCCAGAATAAACACCATAGCCATTCCGAATTACATGCTGAACCAATTATGGGTAAGTGTTTAATAGGTGCTAACAAAATGGTGTTATGCTGTACTTCTTAACTAACTAATATTGTCATTTTTGTAGGTTAGCACACGGAAAACCAACGACTGCAACTAAAAAGTCAATTCTAGCATATATGGTCATCTATAAATATCATTTTATTTAGGATCTTCAAAAGGGATATATCTAAATTAAATATAATCTCATATCGAGTAAATTTATGAAATAAAAAAAGATTGAGGCTTTTCTTGCGTATAAATGCAAACTATTAATGCTTCTGTATTAAATCTACCTGATTTATTCACTTGCTTTGTTTGCTTATCTTTGCCATTCGAATAGGGAGTACCAAACCGACGAATTCCGCGTTTTGCAACAACAGTAAAAGCACTAAGACTACTGCCACTGGTATTAATCCCGGTAGTAGCACTAACTGAGGTAGATGATCCTGTTGGATTACTTTCGTTGGCAGTATGAGCAGAATCTTGAGATAGAGAATTACGGCGTCGACGAAAAAATCCTTCCCTACGTTTTGTTGTTCCATTACCAGAGATAGAAATATTCGTTACTGACGGTGCAACTCCAACAGAAATGCTAGCGACAGAAACCGCATCGGCTCTTACATCTGTTAAACTGTTGAGACTTAATTCTCCATTATCTTTACTGCCAGAACCTACAACTGTAAAAAGTAGGGAAATGAAACAGCAATATAACCACACGAAATACTTCTCAAAATACAATTAACCTGCAATAGAAATGGGTTATTTAACTGGTCAGATATAGTGACTGCCGTCTAAGGTATTACATTGTATCCTTCCTTTATAACTTGCCAGGTAAAATCACGGAAAGAGGAATATAATCCCCTAGGACACTTTGATTTTCTTTTTAAATTAATGTAGTTGGAAGGTGGTCGATAATACAGCTATTCAAGAAAGCATAACTTTATTTATTAAGTTGAAAGACACTCGCAACAAGTATAACAGATACTATTCATCTGAATTGATATTTTCAGCGCATAACCTAAGGAAGGAAATCAATGTCATTTGAGTGTAAATATCATCCATGTATAAATGCTGTACAGTGATGTTAAATTACGAAATGGCAGTACATCAGAGACAAGTTGTGAGAATCAGAGATAAGAATTAAAAACAAGCTTTACAATATAGTGAAATCTTCAACTCGAGTCTAATTGAATCACAAAGTATAGTCATACCAACAAACTCATGCAATCAAACTTGCATTTCACTCCCCCATCCACATAAATTTCAAAAAGGACGGAAACCCTAAAATTTCACCCAACCACCGGTTTAACTACATCTATGAAACAGATATTATATCACGAAGGGATTACGTATCCCACTTAACATACTACTTAAATATTCATCAAATAATATTACTGTAGGAAAATGTGATTCAAAAAAATAGGTGGGACATGAGTTCTTAAGTTTAATCCTTCTTTGAATCCTAGACATTACCAGTTTATACCTACTTATTGTCACCACTGCCTGTCAATCTGTTTTGCCTTCAAAAGCGCTAACTAGTACACTAAGTGTAAGTAAGGGCTATGCACACAACGAGGGTGAAGACTTCAAAAATCGCTGAAGGAAGCATGTATATGAATACAAAGAATGTCTCAGAAGTTACATTTTAAAATATAGACGTGTATGTAACTACGTTCAATTGGAGAAGATATCTTCATTGTGAATATGTCTTCTATAACAGATTTTTCAGCGAAAAAAATACTTCAACGTTATTGATTTCTGTATCACTCAGCAATTACTCGTTCATAAATTTTGAAGAGTGTGCAATGAAAGTATGTCATACAAAGAGTTGTCTTTTCACTTTTTTTCTGTTTTGGATTCAAACCAGAAAACAAGTTTATTTGCTTTTCTCGAATAATAGTATTAGCTAAAATAGGGTTGGGGATAATCAAATCAAAAACTGGAAGTAATCTGTGAAATTACTAACTGGTGACCTAGGTCACATAGGATGATGCAGATATATGCATAAAGACCTACGGAGTATTCACAGTGGTACAAATGAAATTACTCCTTGAGATATTTGAAGTTGTAGATATATTAGATAGTTGGAGGCAATCGGCAGGAAGCCACACCTGACCTAGGTTTCGTGCTAGTTGGCACTCATCAGCAAGGCGTATCTGCAACCTTGAAGGAACTCATGTCCCTTCTGAGATTAGAACCCACGTCACCCAGTGCTGCAGTCAGAGACGCTACCACTGAGCTATTCGGGCTCATGGTTGCAGATACGCCTTGCTGACTGGTGAGTGCCAACTAGCACGAAACCTAGGTCCAAGGCTTCCTGCCGATTGCGTCCAACTATCTAATATCATCAAATCAATGTGCACCGTGATGGCGAGCTACCTAGAATGGTGGCCACATTGCAAAACCTGAATGATAGAATTCAGTCTGCACCAAAGAAAGAAATAGACACGTCACACTAGTTACTAGTGTCCAATCAAAATAGTTTTAGATATTTTAGATAATCCTGTCTAGTTTATTCTTTTGTTCATTTCAGTATCATTACATTTATATTCCCTTCTTTTTATCTAAGTTCTAGGAGTGTGGCAACTTAAACTCATGCACGTACCTGCAAAAGACTGATACTGATTTGTCTATCTGTGTGGTATTTCCGGCAATTTTTAAAGTCTGTTTGGATATGAGCCACTGAGCTGTATCAAGCTGAATAAACGTACTATTGTAAGAAACTCTGTGTCACACTGAATTTCGCTCTTTGAGTATAACGTTTCAACATACCATTTGAAAACTACATACGAAATTATGAAGCAAAAACTAGAATGAAGAGATGAAAAACTTTGTGATATTTTGTTGTAGTCCTTACTGGAAGATAAATAGTGGGTAATTGGTTGGTTTAACTGGTAAATGTTTATTTTGACAGTAGTATGACCCACTAATCAAAATCTTTCAGTCTGTTACGTAATATTAGAAACAGGAAAATTTCATTGTGTAAATTACTTGCGAGAGCAGAAGCAGCTCTAGCTTCACGACCAAAAAAGGCTTCCAAAGCGCGAACACCATTTCCTGTTGTCCCATTTGCACGCTCAGCTCCATTAGATGAAAATGCAGCGGCTACTTCTGCGTCTTCGAACTGTACGCCTTGTGGCTCAAGAGTTCCAGTACCCCTTTCGCTCACGAGAATATTCAATAACCTGTCTGTAGTTAACTCAGCCAAATCTTGATCAAACTGATTGTGTAGTTTACCCAAGGCATCACCTGTAACAGACCATACTGACGCATAACGGTGCAAAAATTCTCTCATCTGTTCTAGGTGGGCAGCTTCAATTTCCTATCGCAATGTAAAACATAAATAGGATAGAACAAGATTCAGTAGTGAACTATTACAACACATTAAAACATATTCACAATACGCATAAGCAAGTGAATCAAAATCTTTAGTTGGATGTATAATCTTGTTTAAAGGTAAGTTGTGTGCTACATTCATCAATAAATGAATGCTAACATGATTTCTGAATGTCCCGGCTTTAATTCTGTATTAAATCATTAATTTAGGGTCATAGCAGTGTTTAAGTTAAGATGACACACGTATCTAATAACTATTATTTTTGATTGCAAAGCTGATATCAATGAAATGTAACAACGAACCATATCTTGCTTAGAACAGATTCTAGAGTACATGAGGGAATGAAATGACAAAGATATGTAAAACAAAAAATAAAACCTATTTTGGAAGCCCTTACTTTTAAACGTCATGAGTCAAGCTCAACTAAACGAAAAACACTCGACAAAAACAAACATAAAATGCAAATTTTAGAGATAATAATCACTCTTAAGATATTACTATATAAACCCAAGACTGATCATCAGCGGACATATCAGCTAGGGAACGATTAAAATCCAGGAAGTACTGGACAGCTGCTTCGTCCTTGTGTGGGACTCCTCATCAATACGTAACTCTGACCCTGCCAAGGATCTAACCAAGGACCTTCAGATTATGAGGTGAGCTTGTTAGTCATTCAGCTACTGGGAGGGAATCCAAAGGTCCATTAGTTCTAACTTCTGGCAATTAGCGACATATAGCGTAACCGCTAGCCAATCTGATTGGCAAGTATTTCTCCTCCCACCCAATTTGATAAGCCCTGCTGGTCAGTACTTCCCACCGGAACTTCAGTCGAATTCAAAATACTTTTCCAGGGTTGGTTTGCAGGGATTTGACCAATTTTAAGGTCGGTCACGAACTGATTTCCTTTTATAGACGTATGGAAACAGACTGGGTATAAAAAGCATAAAACATAGTACGATCTTCCTGTTTATTTTGTGATTACTATATTTTAGTCACTATTTGTAATCTTGTTAATTTGACCCTCGACCGAAAATAGTTCTGGAAATTTCTCACCCATTTATTATATATACGCGAATGCCCAGCATAGTTGATGGCTTCGTCGAGAAAAACATTAATAATCGATATAGACCCCACCCCCGGTGTCCTGTAGCACCATCTTGAACCTGACAAGGATGAAATGTATACTAAACATATTCGGAACTTCGCTCAGGAAACTGAAGAATTTGTGTATCTTTTTTCAAGTATTGGTTTTTGGGGGATTTTGTTTGATTGGTTGGAGGATTTCATCATGAGCTGACATCAGAGGACCATTGGAAAACCAACTGGGAGTACTGGACAGTTATTTCGTCCTAGTTCGGGACTCTTCACAGTACGCACCCACCGGCTCCAGTGGCTTAATGGTTTACGAACTCACCTTGTAACCAGAAGGTCCTGGGTTCGATGACTGGCGGTGGGTGCGTACTGTTGAAGAGTTCCAAACTAGGCTGGCTACACAGCTGTCCAGTACTCTCTGCAGGTTTGCCAATGATTCTCTAACCGATGTCAGCTTATGATGAAATCCTCCAACCGATCCATGTATCTCACTAATGTGAATGCACAACCAGTTACCTGTTAACTTCCCAGAGTTAACATATGGTGGGTTAAGTGAAACAGTCTACATAAATATCAAGAATAATGTTAAATTACAAATGTCTTTCATGATGAATGAATGAGTGGCTCGTAAAGTGATGCAATTATAGAAATCAATGTAATAACTAATATCCATATTTATGTATGTTTCTCTGACTCGACAACTATATTTAATCATTCCTACAAAAGAAAAACCAGAAATTCCCGAAATCTCCAAGTTTTTCCTAACAAATCTAACAACGATATCAACAAACACTCAATTAGTTGACTATTACCGGATAGTTAACATAAATTCACACATACTGACCAGAATTCACCAGGGAGTGGTTGTGTGTTTGAAAGTAACTCTGAGTTACGCTGAAAAGTCAAACGCATATCAGCTATTTTAAAACCGTTTGATCAGCACGCAGGTACATTATATTATTTACTGAAATAGGTAAATCTCACAGGCTGTGTTGAAAGTTTGAATTACCTCAAACTGAGCACACGATATGTGCATTTTGCTCACAAACTGGTTACGCAGATTATTATACTTTTCCACTGAATACTTGTATTCATCTTGAGCTTTCTTCAGCTTCACCTCCAGTTTTTCTTGCTCTCGACTAGAACCAGATTCCAAGCGCATAGCACGTTCATATTCACTGTAACGTGAATGATATGCTTCCTTAGCTTTTTGAAGCTGCATCGAAGTCACCTATATCATAAAACAATAAAGGAGAAAACGTTCTCATTAGAAAATAAAGTTTCGAAATAAAAATGTCAGAGGTCAAAAACAACAGCCAGATTTATTCAACAACTACGAAATACATGTTTTACGAACAACCGGATAAAGGGTAAAGATCAACAATAGTGCATCAGGTTATTCGCTTATTAATCTAAGTCTCTGAACTTTATTTGAGTAGGAGATAGCAAATGAACGAAAGAAAAACAGCAATATTGAAAAATACAAACAACAATGAGAAACAAGTTAAAGTGACGGGAAAAAGGGTAATATAGTACGATGTGTAATATATAGAGTACGCTATTAGTCTAGATTTGCATTCACTTAGAAATATGTGACATGAATTCCCTAACCAATGATTTCCATTAGTTATTCGGCTGTAACTACAAATATTTCAGTCTGGTTACCCTCCGACCAGAACTACGTTCTGTGATACTCACTCGACCAATTTCAGGGTTATAGACAATGTTATTTTTCAGAATATCATCCACCAAGGTGAGGACAGGCGTGTTTGCGTCAGAGGATCACTGTCTGCGCAGATATCTTTAAGGGGTTAGCTGTCCTCCACCGATCCCTCGCAAAGATTAATGAAAGGGATATGGTTAATCTATGTTTACCGCTGTGCCATAGTACGCAGATATCCCATCAAGAAACCTTCCCTTTTATGCCAGAAAGGTTTCCCCAAGAAAAAGTCATTTCTGAATGCAACTGGAATTCACCAATGCTGAATTTGAGTCGGTTAAAACTTTCTACCAAGGACAAGCTGCTTATTTATGCAGTGAAATCATTCGCCACAAATATCACATGTTATGGCTTTATTGATCGTGAAAAATATAGCTTAAAGCAGAATTCATCCTCACAATCAGGATTACACGAAGCATTAACACAAGAAAAGACTGACAATTCCTCTTAGCTCCTACGGTAGCTTTCAAAAGAACAAATCATAAGCTACCAGTAACTGCCACTTGGTCAGAAATATGCAGGTCCACAGTACTAAAATTTGAAACTCAACACACTGAAAGCATACAAACGCAATGGTGAAGCTACAGTTTTATACCAAGATAAGGAGAAAAATGTGAATATATCGTATGGACGATTACAAAGCATCCACACCTTTCATATCATCAAATATTCTAGATTAGGTGGTCAATATATAACTGAAAAATACATAACAAAATCAAAGCCTTAAACCAAACGCTTTGAAAGACAACCAACTCCAAAACGAAGCATGTTAAATAAAACAAAACACCTAAATTATGCGGTTCAGATATTCGTGAACCTAAATTTATGACATGTAAGTAGGTTCATCGTCAAACTCCAATTAAGACATGTTTCTTGAACATACATACAATTGCGAGGTTTTTATGTCGTCTTGTGAATAAAATTACCACTATTTTTTCTTGTGAAAATAAAAATAAATAAATAAAAAAAATATATGGTATTTGTTTTAAGATATAAAACTTATGATTGAATTACTAATTGAACAATATCACACGTAGATTAGCAATCAAACAAAATCTACCAGTTAAACCAGCAAAGCGTCGTCCCTTCAAGGTTCTTCATACATGTATTGCGTCTAACTACCTGCAACTCACCTCAATAAGTAAGAAAACAATGGAATAGTGAACAGAGAATAAGCCTATCCATTGCAGGTCTGGATCATTGGGAAACTTGTATCTACCAGGCAAATATCCATAACCAACTGAATAGACTTCGTATATTAATACGTAATCAGTGAAATGCAAATAGCACAGAAAGGAAATCAAATGATATAAAAGCCTGTAAAAACAAAGCACTTTTCACTGATATTTTGAAGCACATTCACACAATCGAATTGAAGTGAAGGGGTAGAAAAATATAACTTCCCTGGTATGTACATGCAAACATTAACTGGAGCTATTTAAAACTATTTACCTGAAATGCGTGTACGACTTCTTGAGTAGAAGCTTCTGTATCCTTGATTAGCTTCTGCCGCTTGTGTTGCTCTTCAAGATACTTTTGTACATCCCTTGATAAATTTTGTCGTTCTTGAGCAATGTTCAGATGAACTTGAGAGACTTGGTCGATGAGCTGTTTTAACAAGGACCAACACGGCTTGAAACTGCTAGTGTTATTGTAAGAACTTGCTTGTTTTGACAATTTAATTAATGCTTTGTAATAGTTGTCTTCCGCAGAATAGCTCTCCCGTAAGAACTCTGCGAACTCTGCTGAAGTGCGGTAGCATAATTTGAAGTTCTGGTACATAGCATCAAATCCAGAGTGCTTCTCTCCCCAAAAATGTTGAGAAAATAAACACGCGCTCATTTCGGTAAATCCGTATTGTCGATCTAACTGCTGTGTCTAGTGACTCATCCTAGTATATTCCAATGATGTGCTCTAGCGATTCGCCGCAATGTAAATGTGATAAATATCCCATAAAACTGAAATGATCTATTATTCCAACGAGTACTCCTTTACTTTAAAGGAATTACGGGAATTGATGCCCAGTAACACACCTTTTAAACGTAGCGCATGAATCTAAACATCCAATATCAGATACAGATTTTTTGATTGAGGATAGAAGGCTTCAGGTCTGTGCCAGTCCCTTTCTACGAAATACCTGTTCCTGTTTGATCCCTTCTTGATTGCACACATCATCTCTCTTTGAGTCGGTTCCAAGAGTTTATGACTCTTTTAGAAGACTGGCACTACACATCGACAGTTCGTTCTTGACTTTTGAACTATAGTGCCGTGTTCTCTGAGGTGTTCCGACTAGGTGAAGGGGAAAACAGCAAGAAAATTGGGTTTATGGCTATATCTTAGAATTCAGAAGATTAAAATGCGACCCCTACTTACGATATGAAAAGTAGAAGATATTTAAACTACTATCTTACCTAATACGATAATTAAGTCATACCGAAATTAAACGCGTGGCCTCCCTTTCGAACCTTTATAGAATATATTAGTCCTTTCCCTTAAATAAGGGCTAGATGCAGTTTTCCAGTTTGGAACTCACAAGAGATTCTTATGAGGCAGTGAATATTTCACTGGTGAATCCAGTCAAGGCTCAGCATGTATGTGCCATCACGCGACACCGTGCAGTTGTTTTGGGTAATAGCCTAATATGATACGTTGATCCATACGCGTCTGGATCGATTTAAGCATCATTCTTTCTCTCCTGCATTGGTTGTGAGGATCGATTCCCTCAAACAACTTTACGGTTTCTTGGGATCTCCTTAAAATATGAGCACGTCATTGTACTCAGTCATACTGTAACAATCATTTTAAGAGAAAAATACTGAAGATCACAGTAAATGGGCCACTGTGTGAGCTGTCAATAATTTTTCCCAGTCCCGTTCCACTGTGTCGTTATCAGTAGTCAGTTTTGGGTCTTCGTTTAATGTCTTATTCCTGAGGCCGATGTATGACAATATGTTCTCAGGTTGTGCCGTTTAGTTTTGAGGCAGAAACATTTCGGACCGTGAGCAATGAACTCTGGCAATCATTTTATTTCTGGCCACGATGTACAACTTTCTGACCTCCTAAGTCTAAGTCATGATAAACATGTTCCACCCTTTTTACCTACGCCTGAATATTCCACAAATCTGCTGATTTATCCGTGAGGGAAGCGTTTTTGACCATCTCGGAGATCGCTGAATGAAGGGTTAGGTTACTCACTCGCATAGTGCCTTGAATTTGCCCCACGCGACTTCTACTTGAGACGTCTGATATGTCCCAGTCATGATGAGACTGAGGAGATGATGGCCCTCATTTCGGCTTTCAACACTTAATAGAGCGGCCTTGGATACTAAAGCTAATGAGAAATCAAGAGGGAGCACAGTGTGAATACTTATTCTCGAGGATGCAAGTCCTAATTATTCAGCAGACTGCAGGTGCTGGTGTAGCAATATGTCAGAGCAATTTGGTGCTTCCTGTTTCCCACCTACATGGGTTTGGAAACGATCAAATTGTAGGTGCCAAAGCCTACTTCAATATAGGCCTTAATTTCAGCACCCAGTAAACTTGTTTTTCTCGTTTAGCCCTGATCCGCACACCACCTACCGACTGTGCACTGATGGATGAAGTCTAAGTAGAAGGCTTATGCACTGTTATGTGCCCTGAGATGAATTATATTTATATAACAAGTGACTGACCAAAACTACGTGGCAACATTTTGCAACTTATCTGCTGACAGGCTCGAGTAGCAAGCTCGAGGAGTGTACTTGATGATAGCACAACGGGAAAGCGAGGAACGTGTGAGCAGTCAAGCAGGAAAAGCAAAGATGGCTTCGCGCCAAAGTGCATGAATACGTTCAAACAAAAGTTCAACTATTCAAGGTGTAATGCAAAACTATGGACTTATACTGTTCTGAAACCCTTAAAAGTGAGGTTTTCACTATGTAACGGCGCCGTTATCTTTACGTCATGTGATACGGTCTGCTAAGCATAAGTTTCCTTGGACGTAGAAACCAGATCTTATAGGAGGTTTGTGCATTGCTCAGATTTGCTCCTTTCTCCAATTTCCGAAGAGGCCCACTTATGATGGATTAAACCGATTATATTCAAAATATGAATGTTTATGTTTTCTAGTGCTGTGGAGTGAACCTTGTCTAAAATTTGCTTGACTGCATTGAATTCCTCCTCGAACCTAGCTTTTCGGTCAGACATTAGGGTTTCCTCCGTTTTGTGAAAATAGGTGACCTGTCAGAGCGATCAGCTGTGTCTCAACTGGCAGTTCTGCTTCATGTAGAAGGGTTACTTCCAAACCTCAGGGACGATCCACCTTCTGTATTTTGCGAGACTAAGTCGCAACACTCAGTGGCGTCCTCTACACCGTCTGAATTTGGTGGCGACTGCCTACTGGCAACCTGCGAAGTGCTTGAAGCTGGGTTTAAACATTCATTCGCCGATAAGGAGAATTTAATATGCGTTTTCCTTTTGGTAGCACTGATGCAATTATCAGTTTTTCCGCTCTAGAGAGGAACCTTAATAAGTTAACTTAAATATTGGAAGACAGCACTCAAAGCCAAATGGAGAATACTGTTGACTAATGATTCTGAGGAATTATTTGCTCCAGCGGTTCACTGCACCCTAGGGTTGTGAAGACCCTACGACGGTAACAGCCAATGCTAAAATCTAAGGGTGGCACCTTTAGTAAAACTCTTACAATGGAAGCGATACTGGAGAGTTGCCCTTTGGTCTTCTGTCCATGCTAGCGTGACATGTGTATTAGGAGGGCTCGGAACTTTGCCAGAAAAATTCCCTAATTGGGACACATATGAGCACCATGAATAAAGGAGAAGTGAGGTGTCATCAAAAAGAAACAAAAATTTCTTAAGGGATGTATTGTTAAGGACAACACGTGCACTTTATGAAGCGGGAAAATGATAAAAGTAATCTACAGGCATTGAAGATATGCTCAATAAGCACAATGGACTTTTATTTTAAAAAATCGGGAGTGTTCGTTCTATCCTGTAAGACAGTTTTACAGGCACTATGAGAACTTCATGGTTCGTCCAAAAAGCGTTTTTCTTCATTTTTAGGAGCTTCTGTTGCCTTTGCAGTGGTGGTTTTTTCTCCAAGTGCTTGCCAATATTTTGTTGTCTGGACTTCCCCCAGGATAGCTGACTCGGGGCTTATTACACCAACTAAAAATGACGGTCTTCAGCAGTCAATATTAATGTACTCTTCATGGACATTTATGAATTGAACGTAGAACTTCACAGTGAGTTTATTGACTCTACATGGTCCATGTTCCCACAAAAATTACCGCCATTGTCTCGTCATGTACTCTGGATAAGTACTGTCCCGGAGCATCGAATACGACAGTCTAAATATAAGGATGTCTATGAGATCCTGGAAGGAGTAGAACAGGACGAACATGAGCGCAGCCATTAGGGCACCTGGAGTGGGAATAGTGGTAAGAGAGACTCGGTTATTTTAGTTTTTGAACTTTCGGTAACCTAAACCCATGTGAGCCCAATGCCTTAATTCCTTACTTATATCAGGGAAACAAAACCAACTAGTGGTTTTAACGGTAGTTGAAATCCCTGGGTGCGACAAACTGGGTGACATATTGAAGACTTGGAGTTGATAAATTTTGGGCAAAATAGATAAAACAAAATCCACGGCGGCTGTTTACACCTTAACGGAAACCTTCTAATTGGACGCAATGGTATATATATATTTGTTAATCCAAAAAAGCAGGTATGTTAGTCTCTGAATTGGAGTGGCGTGGGTGGGAATGAACTGTTGATTATACCATAGGAAGCAACCAAAAGTGAGGAAGTGTTTTACATTCTTTGGCTACAGGAAACTCGAAATCCCCTATACTTCAATGGTTCGAAAGACGTAATAATAGCTGTTGTCGAAATGTTTTCCTTTGAAATTGGAATTAATTTGCACGCACGAACCAAGTCTATTATTTTAGAAATATTCGTGCCAGATAGTATAACTACCAAGTAGTGTATATCTGGCAGAGGATGGAAGTCCTGGATAGTTTTGCGTTCAGTAATCGGTAATCAACGGTGGATTGATAATGTTTGCTGTCTTCCTTTGGTACCATTTGAAGTGAGGATGCTAATGGATGACCGAATAGTGGCAAGACTTAGCATATGGAGGAATTCACTTTCGGTCGATAGTAGCCGAACGAGAGCTGATTGCAATCCCTTGAAGATCACAGTTTTTCGTGAGGTTGCTAGACGGAGAATAGCACTGCTGGTTATGCATGGCAGATCAGTCTAAGGGCAATCCAATTTCGGGCACTTGTCGACAGTCAGCTGAATAGTTGAATCAACTATCGTTTTCTTCTCAGCCGTCGGAGAGCGGTGACAAACGTAGGTTATTCTTATAATCAACGGTCTAGTGGTTCTGCCTGTCAGCTGCCGCCAGCAAACGACCAGGATTAAGATGTTTTGGCTAGGCAGATCGGTGCTCATAACAGGTGTTGTGACATTATTATTATTATTATCAGGAAATGGAACGAAGTATGGGTTGTCTCGGTCAACTTCGATGGAGACCTTCGTGAAAGATTTACAAATTAACAATAATGAGAATCTGTTCCGATTGCTTGTACTATATAATTCAACAATTTAAACTTTTTAAAAAAGTGATAATGTATGCTAATTCACAATTGTAATTCGTAACATAATTGATCGTGCCTGTAAAAATGGTATGCATTTCATGTAAACTTACTTGTTTATACGAGATATAAATTAAGTTATAATTAAATTATAGAATTACTAGCAAGAAAGCAAATACACTGAATAGTTTCGGATTCAAATAGATTTGCTTTCCAGCGAATGTTTCAATGGGTTTTCCATTCTAAGCTTGCAAGTTAAAAACAGGTTCCTTCTAGCAATATTCCTGTGAGGCAAGAAGGACGCTGACTTCTGCACCTGAGTCAACAAGGTAGCCTGTTCTGCCGATTAAAATCTTGAGTATAGAGTGGGTAGCCGCCACCGTCTACAGTTGCCACCAACGCGTGCCAGTGTGGCCTCTGTATGCTCAATAAAACCAC